CCTCCCTCTCCTCCTGCGTCCTCCTGGCTGAATGAGGGCCGGAAGCAGGGCGGCCGGAAGCAGGGGGCGGGGCTTCGCCATGTGCCCCGCCCCCCGTACCTCCCCCGGGGGAACTGCGATCCCCTGCGATCCCCCCCGAAATGACCTATGGTTACACTACAATCACCTTCATTCCCGCAAAGGACAGAAATCCCAAATACAACATTTCTGGAAGATTCTCGGGGAGCCCCCTAAGTGAGGAGCAGTCACCCAGTAAAACCCATGCTGGAGGGCTGTTTTTACTATAGGCCAGACGACACACTGCATTGATCACGCGTGATCCCAGCACGGCACGGGATCTTTGTCAAGGCAGCCGCAGAAGCCCCGAGCCCCACCCCGGACCAACCTGCTTCCTGGTGGGTCTGTGCTGGTGGCACTGCTGTGCCCTGGCCAGACGCAGTCTGCTCAGCTCCACAGACGTTTGAAAAGGGAGCCCCCGGCCCCACGGAGGAGGGAGCCTCTGGCTGGGAAAGGGGCACCAGGGGGGCTGAGCCTTCAAGGATGTTTGGAGGAGCTAGAGAGAATTTTTAGAAGAGGTGGATCATGGATATACTCGTCGCCAAGCAGCGCACAAACTAGAAACAGTACAAAAAAGTACGATTTAAAAAGTTTTAACTGAGTAGCTGTCCCTGGGCTGCCTTTCTACTAACCCAGCAAACCTCTGTCTTGTCAGGATTAAGTTTCAGCTTGTTCGCCCTTGTTCGGCCCAGCCCTGACTTCAAGCACCAGTTCAGAACATCAACAGCATGGTTGGAATTAGATGGAATCCCTCAAAACCACCTTCCGGGACCGAACTCCCAAAACAGAGCTTGAAAACAAGGTTGCACTGACCTGTAAACTGTTGTTCGTCGAGTGCTCTTCTGTGCAGGCACACATGGGGGACTGCGCAGGCGCAGGCCAGCCACGGAAAAGATTTCCAAGTTTTTTAACAGACTAGGAGCGCCCCTCCTCCCTCTGGCGCCTTCCCACCAAAATGCTCACATGACCAGGAGGAGGAGTGCTACTCCCTCCGTTCTCTCCAAGCCGCCGCCGGAGACCCCCCTAGAAAACCAAAGTTCCAGGGAGTTCACAGCGGGGCAGGAGGGAGGGATGTGTGCCTGCACAGAAGACCACTCGATGAACAAGAGTTGCAAGTAAGTGCAACCTTGTTTTAATCATCGTGGCTTCCGTGCAGTCCCACGTGGGAGATTAGCAAGATCACTGAGTGAAGGAGGTGGGTGTGAAGCTCTCAGAAGGAGACCACCGAGGACCGCTTTATCAAGTTTTGTTTAGCGGCACAAATTGACCTTCACTCAGAACTCACCAGAGTCGTAATCTCTGGGCAAGTGTCCCCACCAAAATAAATGTGGGAATGTGGTAAAGAAAAAAAAAAAGAGCACTCTTTTGAAAAGAGCTATCATACAGAGTGGTAATGAAGGCACACAGACAAAGCCCATGAAAAGAGCCAGTTATTCTGATGCTCTGTCAACAACACCTCAGCACAGAGGAGGGTATACGCCTCCATTCAGACTCCTCCTTTTTTCTTTTCTTTTTTTTACCACACCTCAGCGGGGGGGGGGGGGGGGGGGGGGGTGTTGGTGACAGCAAGAGCAGGCAGCTCTGCTGTATGAACCCCTAGGCAGCCAAGGCACACAGAATGGCCATTGAACAGCACCATTTTTAGTCATGATGACACAGTGGAAATCCACAAATAATTTCTTCTTTAGGTGTATTATATTGTTCACTAGAATAAAAACTGTTAGCAGAAAAAAAGTCTCCTCAGCCTCAGAACTGAGGTGAGGAAAAAACACAGAGAACAGCAGTAGAGAACTTCTCTCCGTGGCGGCGAAGAGAGAACTGAGGGAGTAGCGCCCCTCCTTCTGGTCATGTGAGCTTTTGGCGGGAAAGCGCCAGAGGGAGGAGGGGCGCTCCTAGTCTATTAGAAAGCTTGGAAATCTTTTCCGTGGCTGGCCTGTGACTGCGCAGTCCCCCATGCGGGACTGCACAGAAGCCACGACGATGAACCACTGTAATGCAGTGCCCCAAACTGAGCATCTTTATTGAGGCTGTTCCTACTCTGACTACTGTTTGTTGTTTTTAACTGACATGGATATTGTTTTATCTGTTTAATTTATATACTGCTATCCTCATGACTTTTGTGTGCCTGTAACCTGCCCTGAGCCTGCCTGCAGGGAGGGCAGGACAGAAATCAAATGAAACAAATAAATAAATAACAATTAGCTCAAGTGTTGAGAAGCCCAAGAGAATATTGTGGCCAGTGGTCTCGAAGGCAGCAGGGTCACATTCAGAACGCTGCCAACAGCAAGCCTCACTCTGACCTGGCCTCTTTTGCTCAGGCAGGCGTTTCCCTGGGCACAGGGAGGCATCGGGATACTTCCAAAGACCCAGCATGGGTCAGACTCGGGTTTGCCCCTTTTTACGATGTCTACACCTGTATTGTTAATAACCTGCTTCCGTGTAACCCGCACCCCGTTCCTCTTCCCCCTCCTCGCTTTCCCAGCTGCAGCAGATGTATCTGGCCGCCTGCTTATCGCTCACCCTCGCTGACATTCCTGGTGGGAGGGAGGGAAGCTGTGGAAGGGAGTGAGTGTGTGTGAATGACTGTAGTTTAGGGAGGCAATGCAGTAACCATTTTCTCAAGCAGTACCTCAGGAGTATTCTTATGAGAATGTCCTAGCTGAACCACTGTATCTATCTGGGTTCTTAGGACTGCTTATAGTTGTGACTGTGTGACGTATGACTGGAATGTGGGTTTCAGCTATATCCTGGGTTCCCGCTTTCTCCCCTCATTCCTGACAGAGTTCACCTTTACAGTATCTCAAATCTCTTCAATAAACTCCCTTCAAGAAAGCCTGTGCTCGAGAGTGAGTTGACTGAAAGCCTGACAGCATGTTGATGCCATAAACTGAGACTACGCAGAATTCCAGAGAATTCCTGTAACTCAGAGAGCTGCTGGACTGACCCCTGCCCACATCCACAGTCTTCTACATCTAAAGAGATGGGAAACACCTACCTGAAGGCATCAGCTGGACGCTCTGCATGGGATGCGCCGCTGTAGGCAGCAGGGGGGCCAATAATGGGTTGCCAGGACCCGCATTCATTTCCTGGCCAGCTCCCATTCCCTCACTCTGGCCAACATGGTCCAGGTCAGAGCTTGGTGTGCTGCAGACATATTGCTGGGGTGTGGAGCGGTCTATGCTGTAAGCTATGCAACCCTCCTGTAGTGACAGTAACACAAACAGAAATCCAGAAAATGGCTCTATGGTACCCCTGACTCAGCCCAGGCACCCCAATGCAAAAGGTTTCTACACCTGAAAGCCACAGGACTTAACCTGCTGCCTGGCTTCTCATGCCCTTCCCCTCCTCTCGTGAACATTGCAGAGATCCTCCTAAGTCATGCCGATTTCATTTCCGTCTGTGTTTCACGGGGGTCTTTCATAGGCTTCCTTTTGACAGAAGGCCCACTAGGTTGGTGGGAACCGAGGAAGGGGATTCTGACTAGGTGGAGACCACCAGTGGTTGCAAATGTCCCTATTTGTTCTGATGAGTCAAATACAATGTGAGGAACCACATATTTAGGAGAGCATAACCTAACACAACGTGTGTGTATGTGTGAAAGTCTTCCTTTGAGTTAAAAAAAGATCCTAGGCTGCAATCTAGGTATGTTTTACTGGGGAGTAATTTCCACAGAACTCCATGGGGACTACTCCTAAGTAAACATGCTTTGGATTATAAATTCAGGAAGGAGGATACACTCACCTTTATTTGCCCATCTAAGTTTCGAAGTTGCACTAACCAACCCGGCTCAACAAATAATTCCTCCTCTGGTTTCTCCTTCATCTGAGGGTCAAAGAGCCGTAACTGTGAGGACATCTGAAACGCAGAGCAATGAAAATGAGGAGTGTGCACCGTGAAAGCAGCATAAATGGAAGTTTCCAGGGTTTCTACACTGATTTGAGAAGGGGCAGGTAGCCATGATGGCTCTAAGTCCAGCCCCCCCTCCTGCCCATGGAAGTCAAGAGCTGCCTTCGGTGGAAAGCCCAAGGGAGCGGACATGCTTCACTTGCTACCTGATGAGTGCTCCGGCCAAACAGCCGACCTCTCCCCCGCCCACCGTGAAGGCCATTACTGTACCTGGATCAGCTGACTGATAAGGACAGGAGAATAGTCGCAAGGGCCCTGAAGGACAGCTTTGGAAATCACTTCGCAGTAATGGAACGCTTGTGCAGCAAGGCCCATCTCAGCCAACCGGCAAGCATAGATGAACTTGAAAACCTGCAGGATTCAAGAGGCTATAAGTCATTTGCCTTGCTAAACATCAAACAAACAGTGTGGACAGGTCATGGGCAGTGCCACGGCAACGTTCTGAACCCTCAGCACCAGTGACCCTCTGGAAGTGATCACAACCACAGGGTACATTATGGGCCACCCCCCAACTCTTCCTCCCACCCCGTATCCCCCTGCAAGTGCAGCTTTCATCTCAGCTGCTGCCAGTGTGCAGCCAGAAGCGTGCCGGGGGAGGGGGGGAGAACAAAGATAAGCCCCTCCCTGCCCCAGCACACAAGCCACTGTGGAACTTCCTCAATCACTTCTCAACAGCGGGGCTGGATCCCATGACTTCCATGGCTCGGGGGAAGAGCATCTGCTCAGAATGCAGAAGGTCCCAGGTTCAATCCCCAGCCTCTCCAGTTAAAGGATCTGGCAGGAGGTGATGTGAAAAAGCTCTGCCTGAGACCCTGGAGAGCCGCTGCCAGTCTGAGTAGACAAGACTGACTTCAACGGACCAAGGGTCTGGCTCAGCTCATGGGCAGTGCCACGGCAATGTTCTGAACCCTCAGCACCAGCGACCCTCCATAAGTGATCACAACCGCAGGGTACATTATGGGCCACCCCCCAACTCTTCCTCCCTCCCCATATCAGTAGAAGGCAGCTTATACTGTGTTCAAGTCTTCACCCGTTGGAAAAGGACTGCTTTATGGATACAGACCTTCTCCCTCAGAAGACACATTCTCCACTGAAAGACAATTTTGCAGAAAGAAACTGCTGGATTCAGCCCACTGTTTTCCACTGGCAAGAGCCGTGCTGGAACGGCCACCAACGGCCACATGACCCCTGAATCCCAGCCAGCCACTCCTGCTCTGAACTCTTTGGAAGGCCTGCGGCAGTATGACGGAAGTAGGATTGAGTCCTGCCGAGCATCTGCAACCAGTGTCAACACTGCAAGGTCCAGCAAGACCTGGCAAGCAACTACCGTGTGGATGAAATGAGGAAAAAGAGACGCAAACCTGGAAATTGGGCAAGCGGCACGGCTGAGTCCCCAGGGACTGGGCGTATTCATAGGCTTCGGTCCTTTGAATGGCTTCATTGGTGGCAAACTTTAAAAAAGGCAAGCTGAGAAAACAACAGAGAAAAAGCACATGCATCAGAGACAGGTGTCTTCTTGTACTCACAGCCCCCGTTGGCAACTAGGTTTGCTGGCATCTTTGCGGAGACTTGGGGGGGGGGGGAGAATAGGACAAAAGTCCCAATTTGCACCCCATCAAAATATACAAACTGCAAGCCCTACGGTCAAAAGCAACACCCCCTCAGTGGTCCTGAATTGGCCGAAGGGCCACCAGCGGCTGACCCTCCTCCTCCTTTACAGCCAATGGTGTTAATATTCACACTTAATGGCCTGGCAAGTCACATGCTGGTTCCCAAGCAGTAATTTATTATTTACTGCATTTATACCCCACCTTTCTCCCAAGCAAGGACCGGACACAGCTTTCACCAGCCTCTATTTTATCCTCCCAACAACCTTGAGGCAGCCGAGAGTGTGTCAGGAGCCCCGACGGGGATAGCTGAGCTGAGGTCTCCCAGATCCTTGCCTGACACTCTCAACCACCACCACCCCACACACCGGCTCAGTGACTGAGGTCACTTTATTGTATGCATTTCAGTTAACACAGACGGCACAAAAGCCAGCCCCATCATTTATTTAGGCAGCACTAATAACTGCAGCTCCAAAGTGGGAATAGCAGCCCACCACTGCCAACCAGTGTTCCCTCTAAGCTGAGTTAGTGTGAGCTAGCCCACTTTTCTTTAGCCTTAGGCTCACACATTTCGGTCTTAGCTCAGGAAGGAGGGCTCCAGAGCAAACTAAGTTATGCAGCAGCCAAATGGCTCGCTCACAACTTTAATGCCAGTAGCTCACAAAGTAGAATTTTTGCTCACAAGACTCAGCAGCTTAGAGGGAACATTGCTGCCAACCTGCCCAGAATGGCCATCTCAAATGACCAAAGCTGCTCAAAATGCTAAGGAGAAGGGGCCCTTGAGAAGGGAGGCTCTTGGAGCCATCAATGGTCTGTGACAAAGAGAGAGAGCTCCTGGGCGGACAGGTGGCAGTCCAGTGGGAATCCATTTCCCCTCACCTGTGATTCGAGCCAATCAGCACCAGCTTGGATGTTTTCTTTATATATACTCCAAATCCAGCCTGAGCCATCAGGTAGCAAAAGTGAGCAGCATCCAAGAGGCCTTTTGAAGCTGTAACAAAAAACAGCCTTCAAGAAACTGCATCTGAAAGGTAGGATCAGTGAGCACTGCTTTGGCCAAGCCCCCCTACCCACCCCGTGGCTCACAGACTGCCACAGCCACATTTACTGTCAACCCAAAGAGCCACATGACTACGGGATGCCCTCTACACCATCCCACCAAACATATATATGCGGATACATACTATTGAAGTGCTATCTCATAAATACAGCCTTTAAAATTACAGAGCTCCTCCAAACATCTCTCCCCTCAGTGTTGAACCTTAGCCAGCTTCCCCCTCTCTCCGAATGAGACGCAGCACCTCTAGTGAGAGTGAGGCTGACAGGGTGCCCACAGGAAGACCAGCCGGCGGTGGAGGAAAGGAATAACATCACACACTCCAACCCTGCGGTGGCCGGCTTGCCCTCCTCCTGGGTGACTGTCAGGGTGGTGGTTTGACTCTGGTTTCTTTTCGGTCAGCTTGCTCTCCTCCCAATGGCTGCCCAGGTGCCAGGATGAGAGTATGGAAGCCATGGAGATGGGTGCAAAGTGGTTGGAGAAGCTGGGCCCTGGCCCACAGCTCAGAGGGCCTCACTGCTTCCCTGCCCTCAGGGTGCCAGACACAAGCCCTACCAGGCACAGGGTCTTAGATAGCCAAGTGCGGCTCCTTACCTGAAGGCCTGGTGGAAGAGCTTCATTTTACAAGCCCTGTGGAACTGTAAAAGGTCATGCAGGGCCCTGATCTCTTCCGGAAGCTCATTCCACCAGGCTGGAGTCACCACTGAGAAGGCCCTGGTAGATGCCAGCCTGGCGTCCTTAGGGCCAGGGAGGGCCAAACGATTTTGAGACCCTGACTGTAGTGCTCTCTAGGGAACATGTGGGAAAAGGCGGCCCTTCCGGTAGGTAGGTCCATGACCATAAAGGGCCTTAAAAGTAAACACCAGCACCGTGAAGCGAACCCAATACTGTATGGGTAGCCAATGCAGTGCTTTCAGCACAGGCTGGATGTGCTCCCGCATGGGGAGTCACAACAACAGCCTGGCCGCCACATTCTGCACCAGCTGAAGCTCCCAGATTTGGGTCAAGGGCAATGCTCCCTCTAAGCTGTGGATTCTTGTGAGCAAAAGTTCTACTTTGTGAGCTACTGGCATTAAAGTTGCGAGTGAGCGATTTGGCTGCTGCATAAATTAGTTTGCTCCAGAGCCCATACTTCCTGAACTAAGACAAAAATGTGTGAGCCGGAGGCTAAAAAACTGTGAGCTAGCTCACACTAACTCAGTTTAGAGGGAACACTGGTCAAGGGCAGTCCCATGTAGAGAGCATTACAGTAGTCTAATCTCGAGGTGACCACAGCGTGGATCACTGTTGCCAAGTCGTTGCGTTTGAGGAAGGGAACCAACTGCCTAATCAGCTGAAGATGATAAAAGGCTGACAGCACTGGGTGCTACCTGGGCCTCCATTGTTAAGGAGGCATCCAAGAGCACTCCCAAACTCCTAACCCCTGACGCTGGCACCCACTGTGCCCCATCGAAGGTTGGGAGTAGGATATCTACCCCCAGACCGCCCCAACTCAGGCACAGGACCTCCGTCGTTGTCGAATTCAATTTCAGTTGGCTTAGCCATGGCCTGCAATGCCAGGTCCAGATCTCCCGGGCTAGAGTCAGACTCATAGCCCTACAGCAGATAGAGCTGGGTGTCATCCGCATACTGGTGACAACCCAGCCCATGCCTCCAGGCAATCTGGGCAAGGGGGCACATGTAGATGTTAAATAGCACTGAGGAAAGTAACACCCCTTGTGGCACTCCACAAACTATCGGGTGCCTTTGGGACAGCTGTTCCCCTAATGCCACCCTTTGTTCCTGACCCTGAAGGAACGAGGAGAGCCACTGCAAGGCAGACCCCTGAATCCCAGCGTTGGCGAGGCGATGGATCAGTAGTAGATGGTCTACCATGTCGAATGCCGACGACAGGTCCAATAACAGCGACACTGCCGAACTGCCCGATCTAGATGCCTCCAAAGGTCATCTGTGAGGGCGATCAGTGCCGTCTCTGTCCCATGGCCTGGTCGAAAGCTGGAGTGATAGGGATCTAATATGGAAGTGTTATCCAAGAAACCCTGCAACTGAATCGTCTCCGCCAAATAGGGCAAATTGGAAACCGGTCGATAGTTAGCCAATTCTGCCGGATCCAGAGATGGTTTTTTAAAGAGGGGGTGTACCACTCCTTCCTTGAGTGCCCCAGGGAACAGTCCCTCAGAGAGGGACTTGTTGATAATGTCCCTTAGGGCATCTCGTAGCCCATTGCGACCAGCCCACGAAGGGCACGGATCAAGGCTGCAAGTGGTCAGGCTAACAGATGAGAGTAATTTGTCAACTTCCTCTAGGCTGAGCGGGCTGAAATAATCCAAAACCTGACCAGAAGAAGAGAAGAGATTGGATTTATACCCCGCCCTTCACTACCCAAGGGAGTCTCAGAGCGGCTTACAAACTCCTCTCCCTTTTCCTCCCCACAACAGACACCCTGTGAGGTAGGTGGAGCTGAGAGCGCTCTTGACAGAAACCGCTCTGAACTGCTCTTTCAAGGACAGCTCTTATCATAACTATGGGTTGCCCAAGGTCATCCAGCCAGGTGTAAGTGGAGGAGGAGTGGGGAATCAAACCCGGCTCTCCCAGATTAGAGTCCGCGCACTTAACCACTACACCAGATGTGCATGGAGCCTCAAGCACGCTTACTGTCTCAACTGTGGCAGGGAGGTCATGGCAGAGTGACAAGACTTTATCTGCGAAATAGCTCACAAAAGCCTCACAGCCAGTATCCAATTCCTTAGCATTTGGTCTGCTCTGTGGCAGAGTTGTTTCTGTTTTCTTCATAAATAGTTACTTTAAAAATAATCTCGTTAAGAATACCACATTATCATGCCTACTGGCCAGCTACCATGGATCAGGATCTGCCCCCAAACTGGGACTCTGCAATGTGTGTCGTTTAAAGTTTCAAGTGCAGGCAGTGGAAGCAGGAGAAGAGGCCACGTCAACCACGTGTCCCACCTGGACCTGGGGCACGCAGGGGGAGCAAAGTGCCAGCTGCTGAGCGCTGCCTCTTACCCCCTGCCACCTCCCTCTTTGCCACTGCACCTGCCTTTGCCCAGCTGCCCACTCTGCTGGGGAAGGGCTAAGAACGTTCCTCCTGCAAAGCCCACTGCCCCAACTCCCACAGGCAAGTCAGCGGAAGCCTCAGCCGAGGGCTGCTGCTGCTGCTGCTCACAAAACTCTGTGGAGGACTGCAGGCCAACACAAGCGCAGCTCAAGCGGGCCAAAACCCCACAGCTGCCCGCTGGAGCCTCCGTGACAGACAATTTTTTAGAAGCCCAAAGCCTGAACACAGGCAATGCCTGGAACAGAAGAGCAGCTCCTGAAAGAACCAACAAGCAACAGAATTCCTAAATCCATGCTGTGATTTGCTTTTGTTATGTTTACATTCTTTTTTTTTTCTTTTTTTCTTTTTTGGGGGGATGTTTGCCCCCTCAAATGTTGTGAAAGGAAGTCTTGGTAAACCAACAGCAAATCATGGTGATTTATATTTTAAGAACCCCTGCTGGCTGGCACTCAGAAGCCCCTCCCTGTTCCCAGAGGCTGCCCCCCCCCACCGGTTACCAAGCGTGTCGCCCATGGTGGTGATCGTCCTCAGCTCCACATCCATGTTATGAGTCAAGTTGGAGAGGACCATGGCGAGGTGGGGTCTCCAGTCTCCCCACTTCTCATCTCCACAGCACTAGAAAAAGGGGAGAGGCTTATGAGGTTAGCAACCAGAGGACAAGTTAAATGAATTCACAAGGCTGTGTCAATGTGTTTTAAACAAGGCAGCATAACTCTTTGCACAATAGTGGGAAAAACCAGCTGGTACCACAGGGGGATAAGTAGTTTGAAAGAACTGATATAAACTGAGCAGGCAAACAGCATTTTGTAATTTAAAAAACAGAAGCAGGATAGATGAGACTTGGTATTCCTCATTTCTAAAGACTGAATATAGTACCGCCAGAAATGTGAAATCTGCATCCAGATATATTAAAATGTTTTGGGATAAATACAATCCAACTTGGTTTTAATTACAAAACAATGAATAAGACCACCAATTTGCAGCATTCCAGTTAAGACACACACAGAATAAACAGCTCTTCATTAAATCTGGAATTGCTCCTCAGCCTAACTGACACCGCGCAGATGAGCCTCGCCGGCCGTCTGGTGCCGGAACTCACTGTGGAAGCTGCAGGCATTCTCCCAGACATGAGCTGGTACACAGTCTGCAGGGGGTCATTAATAGGAAGGCTGTTGGCAAATCTGTCGAAACAAGAACACAGGGCACAGTCCTAAGTTCCAAATAGGAAGCCGAATTAAGTATCCTTCAGCAGAGGCCACCTATAGCACCTTAAAGATCAGCACATTTATTGTGGCATCGGCACGCATAGGCAAGAGTCATCAGAGGTATAAAGCACAGTTATACCTAGTATTATTGAAATAAGGTGAGCAAAGACATTTCTTACCTGGTCATCACTCTTGCATGAGTTCTGCTGTCCATTTTACTGGCAAGTAACAAGGCATGACCCCACAGCCCATGCTTCATGGCTGATTCCAGAGCATCCTTTTAACAGAAAAAGGAGCACACATGTAAGGCCACGTATAAACAGCAGGGCGACAGACAGTGCAATGCCATATGCAAAGGACTACTGACCACCTTATCTGACCTCCGACCACCGCAATGGCCAACGTTCCCCAGACCTAGAACCTGGTTCTTAGAAGGGAGGAACGACAACTGCCCAGCTCGTGCAAAGGCAGATATGGAAAGCCAGGGACTCAAGCAGCAAATCTGGGCTGGGCAGGCAGAGATCGATTCATCTCCCAGACAAGACAAAAGCTCAGATGAGAGAAGGTGGCAGGAGGAAAAGCAGTTACGGTTCCCCCCCGAAGAAATGCATTCTTCCAAGGGAGAAGGGGAAAGAATTATCTAACCCTGAAGAGGTTTTTCAAGATCCCACGCAGGAGAGATCCTGTACATTCCTTTCACATGCAGAGTACATTCCATTGGTGCAAGCTGCTTTCTGATCATGCAAGATGGCGGACTTGCATGTGTGGAAATGGCTTAGCTCCAGAGGAACAGGCTCAGCCACAGAGGACCAGGGACTGAACTTGGTATACTCTGTATGCAAAGCCTGTGTTCTGCTGCTGGGATCCTGCCTCCGCCCCATCAGGCACACACCTGTTACTGGGGGCCACCTCTCCTTCTCACTCTCAGAACCAGAGTCGGAACCATTTTGGAGAACAATATTGAGGCTAAGCATGCCAATGACATGCATACTGTTCACGTTCTTACTAGCAAACAGCCCATTATGGTGGAAGTTGAAAATATGCAGAGAAGGGCGCTTGCAAATGGCAAAGATCTTACGTGTGCTTAGGGATTGTGCACATGTACACCCCTTCCCCCCAATGAGATCATCTCCTTGTCAGTCACAGCCAGGCCATCCCATGTTCATGTACACTGAAACATACCCACAAGACCACATTTAACTTTTCCCCTGAGGAGTGAACGGCAGCCACTCACTGAACTGGAAGCCATCCCTGGAGAACAAAACTGGGATCAAGGGCAAACCAGCTCCTGGCCCCCGTTGGCCCCCAAATATTGGGGAAAAAACCCCAGCCATCCTGATTTCCACTTCTCAGTCACTCACACCAGACAGTGACAGAATGTGGGGCCAAAACATCAAAAAGCAGGCTCTTACTAGATGGTTTCACCACAAGGTGAGGAAAGGAAAGGTTCGTCTTAAAACAAGAAGCCTAAATACACCAAACATTCTAGTGTTGCAGGTCACCTTCTTACGACCGTAAAGCAGAAGCTCCCTGAATCGCTCCGTCTCCTTCTCAAGGCTGTCGATCGTGGCAATGAGACTGTCTGTAAGGAAAGACAGCTGAGCCTCCCCGGACTCCTCTTCCACCTGCTCCAGAGCCTCGTTTGTGAAGTCAATCAAATTAGCCTCATTGGGTGATTTCCCAGGGAGCCACACAGTTTTATGATCCCTGAGAAGTAGCTCTGCGATATCCGTGCCTACCACTGTCTATAAACAAAGTCAAGAGAGGCATTTGGTCACGGGCAGGTAAAAGATCAAGGATAAACATGACTCTATCCCAAAGCAGCAACCCCTCAGCCTTTCAAAGAAACAGGATATAGGCAAAGAATTTCGGGATGCATAACCACAACTCCAAGCTTCCTCTCTTGGGTCACCCACTCACAAGAAAGGAGGGCCCCCTGCAGTGAATGCATTTAAGGCCACCCACGCTAACAGCAGCATGAGCCCAGAAAGAAAGGACCGAGGTCACGGAGAAGGGGAAATCCACAGAGACACCCCTCTCCCCCAGCAAGGAACATGGGAGAGGGCTGCAGACAGTCCATCCCAAAGATGCAGTGAATGTATTTAAGGCCACCCACACTAACAGCAGCATGAGCCCAGAAAGAAAGGACCGAGGTCACGGAGAAGGGGAAATCCACAGAGACACCCCTCTCCCCCAGCAAGGAACATGGGAGAGGGCTGCAGACATTCCATCCCAAAGATGGCCTCACTGACATGAGGGCCGCTGCAACATGATCCCTTCCCCGATTTCTTGCTTGCCCATGACTTTCTCATATACACCTGTGATTAATTACTAATCTCTCCAATAGGTAGATTTTGCCCCATACAAAAAGATGTCCCACAGAAGCCTCACTGAAGTGGAAACAACAAATTGAGAGTCCAGTGGGGGCACCTTTAAGACCAACAAAGGTTCATTCAAGGTCTGAGCTTTCGTGTGCACGCACACTTTATCAGCACAGCACCAGTTCATCAGGGTGGCCCTGGAAACTGAAATGCCCCAGTTCACGTGGAATGGATTCTGGTCAACGAAAAGTATGATTTGGGTAGGAGTTCCTCTGCAAAGCTGTGGGCTGACAGCATGAACTGGCAGGTTCAGTAAGATCTTAAGAATGCTTTGCCTTGGGACCCTGCCCTGGATAGCCCAGGCAAGCCCGATTTCATCAGACCTCAGTTTGGTGTAGTGGTTAAGAGTAGTGGACTCTAATCTGGAGAACAGGGTTTGATTCCCCACTCATCCACATGCACCCCACATGGGTGACTTTGGGTCAGTCACAGTTCTCTCAGAGCTCTCTCAGCCCCACCTACCTGCTTAGAAGAAGAATGAGAGTTGGATTTATACCTTGCCCTTCACTCGGAGTCTCAGAGCTGCTTACCATCTCCTTTACTTCCTCTCCCCACAACAGACAGGGTGTCTGTTGTGGGGAGAGGAAGTAAAGGAGATGTTAAGCAGCTCTGAGACTCCGAGTGAAGGGCAAGATATAAATCCAACTCTCATTCTTCTTCTAAGCAGGACCAACCCTGGCAAGTACTTGGAAGGGTGACTTCCAAGGAATACCAGGGCCAGGATGCAGAGGCAGGTAACATCAAGCCACCTTTCTGAAACATCCTAACCCCACTAGGGGTTGCTAGAAGTCACCAGGCTCACAAGCGCGCGCACACACACACACACACACACACACTGCTCACAACAAAAAAAATAAAAGAATGCTTTGCCTCTGGAAATCAGTTCTGCCAGGGCAGCATGTTCTGCAAATAACAGGACGGTTCCACTTTCCGAAAGGTGGGATGGTGCATTTTGGCCAGAACCTGTAATTTCCATGGTCAGCTGCCTTCTTAATGGACCTCTTCTGATGCATCAACATTGTTTTCTTGTGGATCCTGAGCAAGACTGCCCATTTATAGAGAACATAATTTTGACTTAATTGAATTAGAGAATACAGTGGATCTTCAAGCAAATTCTAGATCTGAGGTTGAAAAGATGACAACTTATTTTATTTATTTCTCTTATATCCCACCTTTCTTCCCAATGGGGACCCATCATTTCCTCTCCTCTCCTCCATTCTATCATCTCCCAGATCCTAGTCTAGAACTCCAACCACTACACCATGTTAGCTCTCTCCAGACAGAGACAATAAAGCATGTAAATGGCTTGCCAACATGTTTCTTGAAACACAGGAGTTTGGGATTCCAGTAGAACCTTGAAGGCAGGAGGGGGGGGAAATGGATGTGATGGAAAGGCTAGGAAGACTCATCAAGCCCACAGATTATTATCCCTTCTTGCTCATCCACATGGGCGCAGAACGTATTAAAAGAGACTATGTGGCTCTGGGTAAAAAGGTGAAGGAATTGGGAGCGCAGGTTGTATTCTCTCGTCAGTTCTTCCTGTCGAAGGCTGTGGCTTAGGAAGGGAAAGAAGAATACTGCAGATCAATGACTGGCTAAGTAGATGGTGTCACCAAGAAAAGTTTGGATTTTTGGACAATGGCTTACACATTCGAGATGAAGCTCGAGGGAGGTATTTGTGAATGTCCTGCATTGTGCAGGGGGTTGGACTAGATGGCCCTGGAGGTCCCTTCAAACTCTATTATTCTATGATTGTTCTGTGGTGATATGATGCCAAATGAATGAAACGATGCCTCTGAAAAACAAGCTAACAAGTGCAACTTTTGGGGAGCTGCATCGCACAGCAGGGCCTGCCCCCGAATTAGCAACAGCTGTCACTTAATCACATGGAACGTCTGAAGAACCTAGAACAGTCCCTAACCACAGGGTTTAAAGAAAGACTCCTGCATGGGAATAAGAATCTGAACATCCCCAGATGCCACCAGGGTGCTAAGCATGGAGAACCTGGGGATCAAACAGACATGAGCCACCCTGAGGGGCAAGGAATCCAGATATGGCATAAGCACAAAAAGTTCGAAGAACCAAGTCAAAGGATATCAGAAGACGACCTGGGCCAATGTTTTGGGTGCCATCAGGTGATGCTGTGAGAACATGAATTTAGGTCCCCTGGGTGTTAAAGTGGATTAAAGTGACATTTATTCCTCAGTCAAGAAAAATGAAGTGACATCCCACCATGGTGGTTAAGGTACCTGAGAGTGAAGACCTTGGGGGGTCATTCTGAGAATCAGACCAGTACTTACGGTGCACCTATGGTCAAGATGGAAGAGCATGAATGGGTCACCCTGTCAGAGGGAGCCCCTGAGTCTAGGTTGCAGTCCAGCACTCTACACCACAATGTAATGAGTCCCCATTGTGCCCCACATAGAAAACGCCCTAGCAGAGGTCTTCAGGAAACCAGGGTAGACCACTTGAAGCAGCTCTACTTCCCTCACTCACATGGGCAAATTCATGGGATATAACCTGTCCTTTAACAGCTTGAAGGCACCTGCCAGGAAGTGTTAGGAGAATAGCATCCACCTATGCTCTTACATTTAGGTATTAAGGAAGGCTCAAGGCGTGAAGTAGTTCCTTGCCAAGTTTATTCTTACAACAGCACCATAAGACTAACCAGCTGAGTTAAGATCACCCGGTAAGCCCAAGGCTGACTGCAGAGACCACTGGATCGTCCCGGCTCTCCCACGATGCATTTTGCATATATTCTAATCTACATCATACCACTGACAAACTGAAGGAGACAGAGCTGGAGGACTAATCGCAGGCAATGAAGGTTTCACAAGGTTTACAAGTAAGTCAAGAACTCCTACCCCGTTCTGCCTGCACAGAAGAACAATGAAGTCCCAGAGCAGCTGCGCAGACTCCCTGTCAATCAGAGTTTCATTCTGACTGCATCGCATAGCTTTGTTCTGGGCAAAATTAATAACATCTACTTTGTGCGTGTCATCTCTGAAAGAGAATGAGAAGGAAGCAGTAAGACCAAGAAGTAGAATACCATGGTCAACAAGGACACCTCCCTCCCACACACACGCCCATCCCTTCTTTGACCTTCAATCTTTCCCAGCATCAGGGTCTTCTCCAGTGAGTGCTCCCTTCTCATTTGGTGGCCAAAGTATTTGAGCTTCAGTTTCATTATCTGGCCTTCCAGGGAACAGTCAGGGTTGATTTCTTTGAGGATTGACTGATTTGATCTCCTTGCAGTCCAAGGGACTCTCAAGAGTCTTCTCCAGCACCATAGTTCAAAAGAATCTATTCTTCGGCGCTTAGGGTTTTTTAAAAAAAGATCTAGGGAGATAATTTGCTTAGAATCCCTTCTACGAATGTGTTTCAGTGATTATCTGTTCATTATTCCCCCAGTTGTTTAGAATAGGGACTCTTGTTTTCATGATAGGAACTAGAGGAGCACCACCATCCAGTCTTTAGTTCCGTTTTTCTTATTTAATCAGTAGAACATGTACAAACAAATACATCCTCCAGGCAAAAATAATAATAATAATAATAACTGCAAAATGCCAACAACATTAGAATTATTTATGTTAGTTTTCTAATATCTTGGGTTTGAAGTTTGTTATCTGTGAACCACTAATTTCTGCTGCCAAAAAAGAGGGTTTTTGTTTGGTGACAGCTGGGGGGGGGGGGGGGAATATTCCCAAAATCCAGGGGGGTGTGAACCACTAATTTCTGCTGCCAAAAAAGAGGGTTTTTGTTTGGTGACAGCTGGGGGGGGGGGGGGAATATTACCCAAATACAGGGTGTGTGGTTTTTTCACACTTCTCCTGAAGGCTAACGGGAAGTGGGCCATACATGCGCATGCGTGCCACCCTGTCACCAACCCGCAGCACCTCCCACATCAGACACACACACAGGAGCCCAGAGCGACCCCAAGTGCCATGTAAAGCAAGCTCTTAAAACCCACTGAACATACTTGGTTAGGGGGCCAGGAAATATTCTCATCTCCTCTTGTTCTGAAGAATGCTGCAATATCACCTGGGAAACAAGGTAAACAAATCACTCACATGCCACAATACTGCAGTCCGAAGCACACTTATTTTGAAGTCAGCCACACAAGACACAGGAGGACTTAACGGGAAGAACGCCTGTCACTGTGACTGGGCTCTCTCTGCTTTTCAGAGTTTGCCGATTAACTAAGCACTGTCAGGCACAAAAGAAAGCTGATTTTGTTTGAAAACACATGGTGTATCCGTCATTTCAATTAGTCATGCTATAATTCCCTTACTTCCACATAATAATAAAGTCCTTCCAAAGCCCATTTTTCTCTTCACCCCACCACCTCCATGTCTACTCAGGTATCACAGTTAAGCAATATGCTAGGGAACAAATTTAGACTATACATGATGGGATTCAACCTACAATTCGGGGAAAGGGATGAGTGAAAGGGTGAGAGAACTCTTCCTACCCAGGGCCAGGAGATACTATACAAATGCCCCAAAATAGCTGGGAAGGTGGAGGCTAAAGGAAGCTCCCAAGATGGGAAGAGCCTTCAAGCACAGGTCTCCAGTTGGCCTATTTTTTCCTCATTTGCCTTCAAAACTGTAAGGCAGATCACTACTGTTGTTGCCTTACAGATGGGAGAAATACCTTGCTTTTCTACTTCACCTTTCTTCCAAGGGCTCAAGGCAGCAGCTAGCCACTAGTGCAGTCAAAACTATACATACATGAAAACAGCACAGTAAAATCGCAGGGCCACATGACTTTTCAGACACTTCCAGAAACAAGCTCTGAACTGAAAGTCTTCTGAAACAGGAAGGCCATCCCTGAACAGTAACTCAGACAGCAACCTCATCTGGCAAGCAATTCCAAGTGGCGGCACACATCAGTGGCACACTCTGGAATTGGCCAGCCAATGCCCCCTGCTGTGATGCTCTCCAAATCCAGTACCAAGGGCTTCCTGCACGCCTTGGAACTCTAATCTGGAGAACCAGGTTTGATTCTCCACTCCTCCACATGAAGCCTGCTGGGTGACCTTGGGTCAGTCACAGCTCTCTCAGCCCCACCTACCTCAGGCTGTCTGTTGTGGGGAGAGGAAGGGAAGGTGGTTGTAAGCTGCGTTGAGACTCCTTCAGTGGGGTAAAAAAAAGTGGGGTAAAAAAACCAACTTGTCTCCTTATGTGCCACTTTATCTGCTGGAAATTCTGGGCAGCCGGTGTGTGTGTGTGTGTGTGAAATCTGAGTGCCTGCAGCAGGCAACAGGAGGACACACACTTTGTGCCTGGAAATTACATGTTCAGGTAACTCATTCCGGTTTCTCACCTCCATGCTGCAAATCTCAACCAAAGTAGGCTGTCCCTCTGAGGGCAGGTTTGGTAATACTTTTATTAGGTAGCCTCCAGGGCCAAACCTTGCACATATGTGAGGCACAGAAAACTTCTCAGGCGTCAGAGGTCTTGAAGGGACTACAATGGGAAAGATGACAGAAAGCCAAGTTAAATCCCACTCTCATGTAAAATCTGTTCACTTTCCAGAGCTCTGGGCCATGGACAAACCAGAGGCACACAGCAGCTAATGGCTTTGCTTTGAATCTCAGCTTCCCAGATGAAAATAAGGCTATGTATCTGTACCTATCACTAAATTCAACCACTGTACCAGAAGACTGGAGAGCAGCAAATTTTACACCAATTTTTTAAAAGGGATTCAGAGGAGAACCAGGAAATTCCAATCCAATCAGCCTAACATCTGTCCAGGCAAATTAGTAAAAATTGTAATCAAAGATAGAATTATTATCCACATAGAGGAACAACCTGCTGAGGGAAAATCAGCATGGCTTCTGCAAACGGAAGTCCTGCCTCACCAATCTTTTGGAGTTCTTTGAGAAAGCGAACAATGACGGTGACCCAGTAGACATTAAGTACTTGGACTTTCAAAAGGCTTTTGACAAGGTACCTCACCAAAGACTCCTCAGTAAACTTAGCAGTCATGGGATAAGAGGATGGGTTTTCTTATGGATTAAAAATTGGTTAAATGACAGGAAATAAAGAGTAGAAATCAATGGACAGTACTCCCAATGGAGGGAAGTAAGCAGTAAGTAAGAATTGGTATTGGGCTGGTACTATTTAATTTATTCATAACTGATCTGGAACTAGGGGTGAGAAGTTTGGTGATCAATTTTTCAGATGACACAAAATTATTCAGCATGGTAAAAACCAAGGCTGACTGTAAAGCGCTCCAAGAGGATTCCCACAAACTGAGTGAGTAGGCAACAATGTGGCAAATGAAGTTCAGTGTTGGTAAGTGTAAGGCGATGCAGACTGGGACAAAATCCCAGCTTCAGGTATAGGTTAATGGGGTCTGAACTTGCTGAGATTGAGAGGGAACAAGATCTTGGGGCCCGTTGTTGAAATAAATACAACGAGTTCTAGAAAGAGGCTCTGGGCGGGTGCCCTGGCCTTGGGCATTCAGCATCAATTTGCTGTGGTGACCTCAGCAGGGTATAATAACACAGAGCTTACCGTTTTCTCCAGCGGAACTGATCTCTGCTATCTGAAGAGCAGTTATGATTCCAAGTGATCTCCAGCCCTCACCTGGAGATTGGCAACAATGGTTCCCCAGGAGGAAATGGCTCATTTGAAGGATGGAGTCTATGGCATTGTACCTGTCTGAGGTCCCACCTCTCAAACCTCACCCTCTCCAGGCTACATGTCATTATTACATGAAGATTCCCTTTTGACTCCATCCCCGTGAGGTCAGATACGAGATTTACTATCAGCTGAAAGGCTGACCTCCAATGCAAGAAGCCTCCCCATTTATTTTCCCCTTGCTTTAAAGATGCATCATATGGTCAGGGCGCTCATCTGCAGAAGAAGATGTGCAATTTATATGAAAAATAAGATCTTCTTGCCCCCTTAACCTCTGAGTGTTCGGCAGAAGATCTGAAAGGGGGAATGCTTAATTCATTCCATTTTTTAAATCCTAGCCCGTCGTGCCGTCTTAATGGCAGTCATCCAGCCCCGCAGAAGGCAAGGTACAAATCGTGGGCGGCATTCTGGATTTCTGAAGGACATTCGGGGGTTTTAGGCAGCCCCTTCTCACCACGGGCAGTGGCTTTTGACAGGCAGTAGAAAACAGCTCACTCTCCACTATCCCAGATTTCTCCTCCAAGCCCTCAGGAAGCTGGCACACAACCAAGATTGCCAACTCCAGTTTAAGAAATTCCTGGTGATTTGGGGGTGGTACCTAGGGAGTGCAGAGTTTGGGTAGGGTAGGGAGTTCGGCAAAGATGTGATGTTCCTGTCAGCAAAGATGTGACTGGTCTCTCCTAGACATTATGGTATACCATCGTGTCTTTCCACACATAAGCTTTAATCTGTCTGAGAGATGTTCTCCTCCATTATTTGTGCAAGGTAATAGGTGAAACTGTTATCAAACTCCATGTGAATTGGACAGCTTTTCCATTGAAGTGTAATTTTTCATACATTATCAAACTATTGGTTAGAAGAAGACATCTGTCGAAACGGCACTGCATTCCGGAGACTACCGTCCCGTTGTTGTCACCTTCTATCTTTATGTACCTGAATCTATAATTTGAATGTATTATTATTACTTTTGTACTTTCATATTCATAACTTCACAATTTTTGTTAAATAAATATTGAGCGCACTGTACACAGTTCTTGTGGATTTATTTTTGCATGTCTATGGACTGTGACCATATTAATTTTGGTGCACATTAACACTAGGGGAAAGTCAGCCGCACAGCAGGAGGTTGAAGAGAATGGTTTGATGGCTGCTGGCCCACCTCAGTAGCCAACCAGGCATGGCAGAGCCAAGCAGGAGAGAGAGCCATTTTCGCAGTTTATTCTGACAGGAAAGTGGACAAGCTGGCAGTAGGCAGAGGACGGGAGGAGACCCAGCACCCAGCCAATGGCATGTGAGTACTCGTAAGTGGCGGTTGATGGGCCAATGGCTGATGGAGCGCACTGCACAGCCAATGGGAGAGCTGGAAATGGCCAATACATAAGGGAATTATATATATAGGATGCACATGGTGGAGAGAGTTGACAAAGAAATTTTTCTCCCTCTCCCAAAATACTAGAACTTGAGGGTATCCAATGAAGCTGATGAGCAATAGATTCAGGACAGACAAAAGGAAATACTTCTTTACACAGTGAGTGATTAAAATGTGGAATTCTCTGCCAAAGGATGTAGTGATGGCCACAGGAATACACAGCTTTACAGGGGATTAGATCGATTCATGGAGGACAGGTCTATCAGTGGCTACTAGCCATGGAGACTGAGGGGAACCTCAACATTCAGAGGCAGTCGACTTCCGGTTTATGGCGACACGGTGGCGGACGCATTTCCCGGACCTCCCGGGGATGTGATCTGCGCACCAGCGGATAGAAGGGGGGCGACGGGTCGGCCACCCTCCCGGAGCCTCGGCAAAAGGCTCCTAGCCATGGGGCTTTTGAGGGGCGACCTCTTCGCCAGCGCGATGCTGGGAAATTGAGGCACTCTTCCACCCCGACAGTCCTGCCGCTGAGTGTCCGTATGGATCTAGAGCCACTGACCGGGACAAGCGTCGGAGATCGAGCGTTTTGAACGTGTTCCGAGTGAGGCTCTTCTACATCCTTAAAGCACCACAGGCAAGAGGCTGAGAACAGAACTACAGGCAAGAAGGCAGAGTGCATGCCTCCTGGCCCGATAACAGCTGCTTACTGATGACAAAGATGAGCCACTTTGAGACTCCTTAGGGTAGGGAAAAGTGGGGTATACAACCTACTCTTCTTCTTCTTCTGGGACAAAAGTTGAATATGACCCACAGTAAGTGACCTAACCTTTGGGATGAGAGTCAGAGGGTGGAGTTATGGATCTTTCTCAACAATCTACCACTTAAATATTTTAAGCAGTACCTTGTTCAGCTGCCGGCCAAACAGATTTGCCCAGGTAGCCGTAATCTGCAAAAGGTGCCTGGCTTTCAAAGCTGCTGTACCCCCCATAGGAATACTCGGCATGGAGTGAGGCTGGCTGGTTAGCAGCTTCATAGGCACTGGCGGTCAGGTCATGATTGCTTCGATAAAGCTGGCTCTAGAGAAGAAATGCAAGTGCTTGTGTTAATACACAGAACTGTAGCAAGGAAAGGGGATGGCACAGGGGCTCAGCAATCTGGGAGCTCAAGGACAAGCCTTCCCCATACCAGCCCCTCCACACAGGCCTGCAAGGGGAGGAGACAGACCCCCACGACCACCGAAAAAGCTGTGTTGAAGACCATGGGAACTGCATAGATAAAAGTCATGTGGGACAAGGGCTTTAAGAGGGAGAGGAGACTGGGTGAGACAGAGTGTGAAAGCTGCCTGGATCTAAACCCTTGTCTAGTGAACTGGCCCCACTGCATTAGACAACTAAACAGAAACACAGACAGCTGTCGGACATCGACATTCCACTTATTTCCCCAGATCAGTATTTTCTTTTCTTTCTTTCTTTCTTTTTGGGATTTGTGTGTGTGTATGTGTCTGCAGGAGCTGCGGTGGCTCAAGTGGTTAAGACGCTGAACTGCAGGCTGTGGAAGGTCGGTAGTTCAGCAGTTCGAGACCCGAGTGTGCCGCATGACGGAGTGAGCTCCCGTCTCTAGTTCCAGCTCCTGCCAACCTAGCAGTTCGAAAGCAAGAAATTGCAAGTAGATAAATAGGTACCACTTTGGTGGGAAGGGAACAGTGTTCCGTGCGCCTTGGTGTTTAGTCATGCCGGCCACATGACCACTGAAACGTCTTCGGACAGCGCTGGCTCTTCGGCTTTGAAACGGAGATGAGCACCGCAACCCTAGAGTCGGATTCGACTGGCTTTCGAGCAAGGGAACCTTTACCTTTACCTTTTATGCGTCTGCACCTTGAAGTCATGTTGACCTCTCGTGACTGATCCCTACTGGGGGCCTGGAGGATATTCAGAGGTGGCTGAATAAAGCCTGCCTCTGTCCTCCCAATGTGGTATTCCAAGGAAGTCTCTCATCCAAGTACTAACCACGGTCGACCCTACTTAGCTTCCGAGATTTGACGAGGTCGGGCTCGCCTGAGCTATCCAGGTCAGGGCCCCAGAAAAGTATATTCAAGCTGAAAGCATTTTAAAAATGCTAAGGTTTCAAGACACAGAATGTAGCCTGCAATGTAAGGTTTTCCCTTGCTCAAAAGCCAGTTGAATCCGACTCTAGGGCTGTGGTGCTCATCTCTGTTTCCAAGCCGAAGAGACGGCACTGTCCAAAGACGTTTCCATGGTCATGTGGTCAGCATGACTAGACACCGAGGCACATGGAACGCTGTTACCTCCCCACCAAAGTGGTACCTATTTATCTACTTGCAATTTATTGCTTTCTAACTGCTAGGTTGGCAGGAGCTGGAACCAGAGACGGGAGCTCACTCCATCATGTGGCACTCGGGTCTTGAACTGCTGAACTACCGACCTTCCAGCCTGCAGTTCAGCATCTTAACCACTGAGCCACCGCAGCCTGCAGTTTAGCTAGCTCAAAAATGGGATTAGACAAATTTATGGAGGAAATGTCTATCAATAGTTATTAGTCACAACAGCTAAACAGAACATCCATGGGGTGTTTTTTTTGGGGGGGGGCAACAACAGGGAAAAGTTTTGGTCTCCAAGCCTCACATCTAGACCTTCTGGGAACATCTGGTCCATCACTGCATGAAACAAAATACCAGACTAGAGGAAGAGTGGGTCTTGCCTACCACAGCTGCTACTCCTGCGTTCTTACAGGAGCGTGCAGCCTAGCAAGCATTCAGGTGACATCCCCCCCACCCCACCCGGCTCCCTCATGCAGGCTCTTTAGAGAGGAGGAAATAAAGCCCCGTCTCCTCTTACTTGTTGAGAGCGAGAGCTGAAGCTGCTCTGGTGGCTGTGAGCGCTGCGAGAACTGTGGAGGCTGTGGCCCGAATGCTCACTGTGGACGCTGCGCCGGTCTAACTCATCCCCGTAGGGGTCCCGGCGAGGCTCCAGGTCATCCTCAAAGCTGCCAGCAAAACGAGGGTCATAGCGCCAGTGGTCTTCATGACTAGTGGCAGGGAGGACACAGAGAGCCATAAGCCATAAGGCAGGGAGGACACAGAGAGCCAATCAGAAGGACTCCAACGTCAGCACCCATTTCCATTCAACAACCTTACTGTGCAGACCCAGGCAGACCTCATGAGGATCCCTTTAAGCCAACTCACAAGTGTGTGCCTTTGTATTCTACAGTGTTAGCTATTGGGGGGGAAATAAAGAAACCAAACACCTAAGGGCTTGACTCAATCCGTGTACCCAGACAGCAAGCGGAGACTTGGAAATGTAAGGCACCATCCAAGGGGGCACAGATGGGAAAGATAAACAAACCCCCAAGCCATCACTTGCTTGGCTGAGCTATTGCACCCAAGAGGTCAACAGACATGGCAGCAGGACACACATCTGCCACCTAACCCACGCTAAAGTTCTCTTCCTCTCACTCAGCTTGTTTCATTTGCTGTTTGAGTGGAGGGGGTGGGGGGGAGAGAAGAGAGCAATAAGTGGTGGGGCATAATTTACAACTTTAGTAAGCTGCAAGTATGCAAAATAAGATGCACAGCAAGCAGTCATGATTTTGCTTTCAAAGCTTGCCAATCTAACCATTTCTTCTAGGAAACTGGATTTCATATTACTGCAGGCAGCTTTCAAAGTGTGCAAAAGACAGACAGGTATGTCAACTGCTGTCTCTTACGGCAGCAGAAACCTTGTAGCATGAAGAAGCCTGAATACAAACACTCAGCTGCAGACAAGCCCTCCTGCAGAATGAAGCCCCTGCTGCCAGTCTCAATAAAGCCAGGTCTCAACGGACAGCAGCCCAACTTATTGAGATCTGTGTATTGATTTTTCAATCAAAGCAGTTCTCTGAGCAATTCACAACAGCAGCAGAACAATTACAAATAAGATTAAAACAGCAATGTAAAACCACAATCTGAAATTATAAAGTAGCAGATGATAAACTATGGCACTGTGTCAAGCTCCAAAGCTGACAGATACCGAGACATAACAACATGTCACAACTCTCCACCAAAAGGAAGAAGATGTGCAAATGTGGCCTCAAGGGAGAGGAACTTCTTCAGCTTAGGGGCCACTGCCAAAAAGGCTACATCAGGAAGTTTTATCCGGTTCTCTTGCAAATATGTAGTGTTTCAAGAGATATTAACTAGTATCACTCTGTGAGAACAACTCCAAAATGTTTACAAACCTGTTTTCATATGGGTATGCCTCTCTTTTCTGATAAGAATTCTGTTCCAAGTCATACCAGAGTCTCTGGTCAAAGCCCCTGGAGTCTCTGAGCCTGGCATCATAAGTAGACTGGTAACGATTCCAACGGCCTGGATCTTGCGGGGGAAGAGAAGAATTAGACATTTTAGAAGCTTTGTGTGGCCCTTTAACCACCACACCACCACAGCTATGAGCAGAGTATTCACTAATATCCTATATTATACACAACCACTGAGTCAAAATCAATTTCAAAACACCACTGTGGGTGCACCACTTGTGCGACCTTGAGATAACTGCAGCTGCAATCAAGGACTGTCTCAGGGCCTCTGCACTAAACACTCAGAGTGTTGCAACCCAGGAGCATCTGACGAGCCTTTGCCGGGACCAGGCAATGGGAACAGCAGACCTCAGAGTGTCAGCACAAGCTCCCCATTTCACCTCAAAGTTACACGCTTAACACTGTCAGCAAGGTACTCTTTTATCATTCCAGAACATTCATACTGAGGTCTATTTCCACGTAACAGTAATACATGGCTTCTTTCTCATACACAATGAATTAGATACATTTATAACTGAAATATCATCCCACATCATTAAGGGTGCCATACTTGTTTTTCCAGGCTTTGGCCACTGCTGTTCTAATGCCTTACAGTTTCTGTGGTCGTAACCTGGGTCAAGGAGTAACATGGGTTACTCAGATCTCCATCTGTTAGTCAGAAATTAATCCAGCAAGAGATGGTTGGAATTAAGCAGAGATATGCTCTCGGAACTCATTAATGATTGCTTCATCCTTTTATTTGAATGTCTTCTGATGGAGGAAAAAGGACTACTGGTATCTCCTACCTTCATAATCATACGGATTTGCATAATAATCAGCATAGTAATTGCTCCATCCACCTTTGGGGTTATAATAGTCCTCTGGATACCCTTGTCTGGAGGGGAGAGAGAGAGAGAGAGAATGAGAGAAAACTAGAGGTGTATGCCATTAACAAACAGTGGGAGATTATAGTCACTGGAGGTTGTGAACTGGTTGTTTCTTAGAAAACAGTACAGATGATGATTATTTTCGTTGCTGTTACCAGAAGTGCAGGACTCTTTCACAAACACTTGAAACAGCTGGTTGTTGAAGGTTTCTGTACTTCTGCCCAGCAGAACCTCTTGCCCTGCTTCATATACCCCAATTATTACTCCTTCCTTGACCTTAACCTCACACACACACACTCCCCCCCCCAACATCTCTCTCGTCAGGCCACAGTTCCCTCAACAGAAAACCCCAGACACTGTGAATGTTCTTGTTTTACTTCTGTGAGACGGGAACCTTAACCACATCAAGCAACACAAAGTGAAGGCAAACAACAGGCTTAGATTCAGTGAGGCATCTCTATGGGCAGATGGAAGGATCTCTGCCTGTGGTGCATGACTTTCTTGCCTCCCCAGGATTCTGCTCCATTAGATCCAAGCTTGTACATGGATGGTTGACTATACTGCAGACACAGCCTTCTGCGCCTCAGGTCGGTTATTTAAAAAGCCAGTGGAGGTGGGGAACTAGCCCCTCTGTGGCCATCAAGTGAGACATCAAGTTGCAAGTCAATCAACTGCCCTGCAGAAGAATTTTGTACTGCACACCTGGAGGACGGCCTGTCTGAGGTGTGGCTGGCTCTGGAACTGGGCCGTTCAGGTTCCGCATATCGATAGCTTCCAGGATCCCTGTAGGCTGCATTGTCATACTGCCAAAAAGCCCGGTCGTAGCGGCCATAGGCATCCTCCTAGGAGAAACAGATTTAGCATGACTGAGCATTAGTCAAGAGCCAGATTCCGTTCTTGATTCCCAGATCTGGATGCACCAGAATGAGGGGAAAGCTCATCCAAAGCCACTGCAACAGTTGCAGCACTGCAACCAAGAGCTCTGTACTCTTCCTAACTAGGGGCCCACCGCATGCTATGCTTGCACCTGTCTGAAATCAAAACTCAAGACGACCTCGGTCAATCCTGAGTTTCCTCTCAAATCCACAAACAAATCCAAAATTAAAGCAAACTCAGGGTAAGGAACTGTTTATGCACTGTCAATTCCTTAACTGGGAAAATGGGGAGCGTTTGGCAAACCAGCAGAATTAAACATGAGGTCACCTGCAGTTTAACCTCTGGAGCCTTTGCCTGGAAGCTGCAGCCTTGGAAAGTGGCCACAACTGAAATATTATTTTTATATGCATCAAAAATTAATCCAAAAGTATTAATGTATAGTTTAAATACACTTACTAAAGAGATGTCCAAACTATAAAAACAAAAATCTCTTTCATCACAGCTTTTTTTAAGAGGTAAAAAGTTGTAACTGCAGATTATGCCAACTAACTTCAGATGAATAACTTTGCTTTTGAAATCTGAAAAGAGCATGTGGGAGAAGAGCCATTTTGATTCTGGTACATTAGCGGGGTATTAAAATACACACACACACACACACACAAATGGCCTTTCCCCCTTGAAAATGGTTGTCAGTATTACCTGTAAATTCTTTGAAAGGCACAAATGTTGGAATTTTGAAAATGGGCAAATTTAAATTCAAATCTATTAATCAATTTATTAACTACAACTTCTTTAATTGGTATACAGCCATAGAGGTAATTAATTACAGAACCAAAGGGCTGAAATGAATTCAAATAACACCAAGGCAAAGCAAAATGCTCCCCAAACCCTCCTAAAGATCTTACCACACTAGCCAAATGATGGGATGTCAGAAGCAAGAGAGTGCAAGGGTGAGGTACCTCTCTCCAGAGGGACCCCATCAAGCAGCAGCAAAAGTGCATTCATCAGGAGAGCCCTGCTGGATCAGGCCAAGCATCCACCTCGTCCAGCAGCTTGTTGGCACAGAGGTCAAGCAGGTGCCTCCAAGGGGCTCATGAGCACATCACTTTACACTGAACTAGACCTCTGGTCCATCAAGGGATTGCCTACTTTGATTAGCAGTCAGTCACTCTCCTGGCTCTCAGTCTCTTTCATATCACCCGAGAGTTTTAACTGGAGATGCTGAACTTGAGACTTTCTGCATGCAGAGCACATTCCGCCACCAAAGAGAACACAAAGAGGGAACAAAGGCAACAGGCCTCCCCCCTGTAGGAGTCCAGCATCTGAAGACAAGCGCACTGAGCCAATCCAACATTACACTGGAAGGGAGACAACACCCCCCCCCCAGTCAAGGTGATGCAGGTAGAAAAACCCTCCCACAACACCAAACATGGCAACTTCATGAAACAAAACTTCCTTCAGAGAGAGCCCACCCCACATTTTCTTGGCTCTCTGCCAACAACCCCACCCTACCCAGCCTCTCATCTGCAGTCACAGGAAGCATTCATGCCAGGAAGAAAAACGGAGAGCAAACTCAACTCTACCTGGTAGTACAGGTTAGTGGTCCTAGGGTCAGCAGGAGGATAAGGTGGCTGATACTGAGGTGGGTAGGCATCGTACGGATGTCTGTAGTAGTAGTAAGGGATTGCCGATGGGCCAGACACTGTCTGAGAAGGTGGCAGGTGCTGCTGGTCTTGCTGAGAGGGGGTCCCAGTTGGCTGGCCGTTGCCAACAGATGTCAAGGCAGAGGGCAGGCTGGTCGTAGCTGCAGCACTCAAAGGGTGGCCCAATGTCGCCTGGCTGTTATGAGCAAAAGCCTGACCATGGTTTGTGGGCAGATGTGCTGAACTCTCTTCCAGGGGACCCCGCAGGCAAGACCTGTTGGTTGGGGCCTGGGCAGGACTGGCTGGAACTGAAGAATGCCTAGAGGCCAACGCCTGTGATGCTGAAGTAGCCTGTATTTGCTGCTGCTGCTGCTGCGAAGGTGTGGCTCTATCCAAGGGCACCAGAGGCTGCATGTCTTGCATTACCTGCGGATAGAAACGCTGCTGGCCATCCAACTCAGGCTCCATCTGCCTACCAAGACAGGCTGGCTGAGGCACTCCCAGGCCACCATAAAGCAACGGAGCTTGCACTTGGGTACAACTGCCCATGTTGCCCTGCTCCAGGGTCTTTGCTACTGTAAAGTCAAGTGCTCTGGTGGGCTCCTGACCACTGGAACCATTCTGGGACCTTGCGGGATTGCCGTGAGGAGACACCATGGTACTTGCCGTACAAGCCAACACACTTGCATTGCTGCTGGAACCCGAAGGGCTCATTTCAGGCTTCCTGGTGAATTCAGGAGGCAACCCTTCTAAACTGGCTGCCTGTGTACCTTCTGAAGCCAAGTTGAGTGGGACGTGAGAGGCAGACTGCCCCAGAAAATGTGCAGATTTATTTGAAGTAATTTCAGAGGAAGTGGGAGGGTCTTTTAATAAATTAGGATTGGTTAAAGCAGAAACGGGACTGGACTGCAAGGGAAATAATGGTACGTTGTCTCCAGAAGGGTTGCTGCTACTGTGTGCACCAAGCAAAGGCTTATTATTAATCCCAGGATCTTTGGCTAAATGATTCTTTTCATTCTTGTTCAGATGATTTGCAAGAGAGAAGTTAACTGGCTGTGTCAAGCTGTAGCTTTGATTTGGCTGAGCAATCAAGATAGGTTGGTTTTGCAAAGCCTCAGTAGGTGGGGAAGAAAGGAGGCTGGCATAGCCTGAGCTTGCCTGGGAATGGGGGGCCTCATCATCCCCCATTTTAGGAGGATTTTCCAGGTTTTCAGAAGATGCATTTCCAGCCTGTGATGATGGGAGAACCAGTCCTGGTTTACTAGGCTGCTGACCAGGCAACCCTTCATCAGGTGGCTGAACCACTTGAACAGTCTGCTTGGCTGGTACATACACTGCAGGGGCAGCTGGGGCAAGGAGCACATTGCCCCCAAAATCAGGCAGCTCATTGGGTGCCCACAGTGTTGTGGCTGGGCTCTCACACTTTTTAGTGATCCCCTGAGCTCTGCTCAATGGTTTCTTCTCAGGTACTGACTGTATATTCTCCACCACAGACCCATTTCCAGCATCACCAGCAACTGTCAGAGGCAAAGGATGGGGCTGAGGGGGCATGAAAATGGTTTCCAAGTTGTCAGGTGGCTGTTCAAGATTACCTGGGGAGATGACAGGCATGGCTGGACTCTTCTTGGTAATCCTTTGGTTTGGGCAATTCTCCCTCAACTCAACCACCATCTTGGCCTGATCCACCTCTAGGGGTTTTACTCCAAACCCATGAGACCTGACTGGCTCAAACGAACTGTTTACACTTGTCTGAAACACTCCCATTGGTTTGGGGGGACTCGGTGTTGGCACCTGAGGAAGACTGCTGCAGAAATTTTTACTCTGGTTCTGTTCGCTTGCATTCCCTTCCAAAGGAGAGGAATCAATCTGTTTAAAGAAACCTGCCGCAGAATCCTCAGCAGGCTTCCCACTTTCTTGCTGAATAAAGGTGCCTAGCTCTCGTGGCCGTGTAGAACTAGACAGACTCTGATGACTCAGACTGCTGTAGTTGGAAGAGCTGCTGTCAGGCCGGACAGGTTGAGGCAACGAATCGGGTGCTTCTAGGTTTGGTCCTCCTTCTGCATGGCTAGCAATGCTGTTCTTTGGAAGCTGTGGCCCCAGTGAGGCATATTTGCATGAATCAGAAGCTACACCTGACGATGAACAGTTCTGGGCCTGTACCTCGCTTGGCAGAACTTCTTGATTCTCAACATTTTCATACTGTATGCCAATATGGCCAGCTTTGATTTTGCTGACACGGGCCATGTTTTTATTGCCCTGGATATCTTGTGGCTGACACGGAGCTCTAGGTGAATGCTGGACATCCATGCCCTTTTGCACAGTTTCAGCAGAAATATTACCACGTGTCTGTGTTTGAGGGAAAGCAGTTGCCAAGGTCCGCTGTGCGTGCAGTGGCTGGTAGTATGGATGCCCAACAGCCTGCTGGACAGCCTCAAAGTCAGCTTTGCCAGCCTCACTGGTCTTTTCTGATGAAAGTATCTCCTCATTCTCAGCCTCATCGCCTTTGAAAAACATGGAAATCCTCCCTGAATCTGCATCAGCTGCACACTGCCCACTTCTGGTTTCAGAGGAATATTGGGACTGAGCTGGGGGGCTGTTTTCCTGAATGGTGGGATGACCAGCATCACAGCGTGATTCAAGCGGTTGTAAATAAAAGTGTTCTTGAGGAAACTGTCCTTGCCGAGGACTGGCCACTCCCATACTCTGCCAAGGGCTATTTTGTGTGCTGCTCTCAGTGTACATCATGCCAGATGCATCAAATATCAATGGTACCTGCATGGCATTTTGAACAGGTTGCTGTGGAGGGCTCTGCCGGGGAACAGTATGTGGGCTTGCTTGGGAAACACCAGCAGTAGACTGAGTAACAGGGTAAAATGCATTTTGGGATGGTGCCTCTGGGCAGGGAGAACAAGTCTGACCTTGCAGGCTATCTTGGGCAGGCTTCCATTGTGTCCCAGTTTGTTGAGCGTAAGTGAAGAACGGCAAAGATGGGTTGGTGGGGTTTCTGCTTATATCTTGCTCACTTGGAGGCCTATACGGCATATAGGTCAAACCCTGATGCCCACCAACAGAATTTTCACAGGTGATTCCCATGGAATGAGACTGTCCTGAAGGGTTGCATTCGTTATGTTCTAGATTTGGATGTATTCCAGTGCTATTATTTGTAACGTGCACAGGTACTGAAGATGCAGGTGCTACAATATCTGAAAATGTGCTGTTCGCTCCAGAATGAGAGACAGGTGCTGGTAATGAAGGCTGTGGTTCATAAGAACTGTCCCCAGCATGTCGGCAGGGAGGATAAATAGCAGCTGGTGGGGGAAATGTCACTGGAGAAAAACCTTGCGTAGCTGATGGATTGCCTTTCGGAACACTGCCCGACAGAGGGCCTTTTAGTGCTTGCCTGCCAAAAGCAAATGGGTTTGTCACAGGTTGCACTGGACCAGCTGCCACTGATGGCTGTACATTTGCCTCTCTGCCAAATGGGCCATTTCGCCGGTACGTGTTCCGTGGGGCTGCCAGAGGTGGTGGGCAACCTGCCCCTGTGGGAACTGCCTGTGGTGGACGCTGCATGACCAACTGGCAGCCAAGTCAAACTCCAGTGGTTACCGTGGCACTGCCCTGCCTTCCCACACACTGCAAAAGAAAAAGAGACACAGACTAAGAAACCTGCCATTCACAGGAAGGGCGAGCTAGGCATCTGCACAATTCATGCTATGTCTTAACAAAATATTGTTTATTCTTTCCTAAACAGGCACTGAGAATGTAACAGCCATATTAGCTAAACCAAGAAAAGGACATTTTAGTCTCTGAGAGAAAGGACTTTAAATTTACTCTTTAAGTTTACTCTTTCTATCATGTCACTTCAAGACAGAAACAAATGAAAACTAATACTGTGGCTTACTGTAAACTGTGCTGCTGTAAAGTGTGGCTTACACCACAGGCCCATACAACCCCGCATTCTGTGTCTGAGAGTAGTCAAATCCAGAAGCTTTAGGAAGATCACAGGGCAAAGGTTACAAAAGAAAGGCCTAATCCCTTCCACTTAATCTCAGGGTCAGAAAAATTTGGGGGGGAGCCTCTCAGCATAGGCTGTTACTGAAGACATGAAGGCCTAGAAATGTCAGGAAAAAAGGGAGCCTCCTGCCCAAGAAAGCTCCTCTCTCTTTGGAAAAACTTTTTTTCTTCTGAAATAAGCACGGGGGGGGGGACAACTAAAACAATCAAGGGACTGAAGCACCTCCTTTCAAAAGAAAAGCTAAAATATTTGGGGCTTTTTAATTTTGAGAAATGGTTACTAAGGAGAAAAAATGACAGAGATTTACAAAGCTAAGTGGCGGGAAGACATTTTCTCCTTCTCATGTAATACCATTCAGGAACAACAAAAGAAGGACTATGTCATACAAGATGATTTGATGGAACCTCCAAGTTCCTGGAAGATGCTTCAGGTGGTCCTAATCAGAGCTATTTGGCAGCTTTTGCAGTGGGATGTTCGGAGCAAGAACCCACTGAAGGGCAGCCACAGTCACTGCGCTCTGCTTGTACTTTCCTGGTCCCCAGGTGCTCAGGGATGCTGCGCCAGATGGTTCTTTGGCCTGAACTAGAGGGGCTGCTCTTATGTTCACAGTTGCCAAGGCCAGTATTTTCTAATCAAGTAATTCTGCAACCACTGTGACCCAGCTCCATGCACGCACTCTTTCTTTCCCCCACAGCTTGATATAAAGTGACAACTCCCTCATACAACTGTTCAATTCAGGAACACAACAGCTTTGCTTGTCATAAAATAGCAGGATAAAGAAAACTTAGCCTGCTACCGGCCTTGTATCCTGAATTTCTACCTGCTGCACATTCATTTAGAACCTTGAAACCCCTACATGTGTTAGGGGGCGGTTAAGTGGTATAGTAATAGTAGAGTAGAGCTTATTAGTAGTGGTGTAGTAGTGCTTATTAGGATGCCAGACCGGGATTGGGTAGATCCTGTTCAGGTTTGTCAACCGCTGGGGTGGGTGGGGGGAAATGTTTCATCCCTTTAATAATCTTGACAAGACCTTATTTACCTCGATCGCATTAAAAGCGCCAATGGGCTCATTCCCACATATAAGCCTCTACTACAGGGACTGGGCATTTCTCTCTCCCTTCACGCTTCTGCAGGCACAGGTCAGCTTTCCCCCTCATCAAGGGTGTTCAGAATTTCTGTCCGAACGATCTGGCAACCCCGCCGCGTTCTGTTCTGACCAGTGTTCCCTCTAAGCTGAGTCAGTGTGAGCTAGCTCACAGCTTTTTAGTCTCCGGCTCACGTGGTTTTGTCTCAGCTCAGGAAGGATGGGGCTCCAGAGCAGACTGATTCATGCAGCAGCAGAATCTCTCGCTCACCCCTTTAATGCCAGTAGCTCACAAAGCAGAATCTTTGCTCACAAGACTCCACAGCTTAGAGGGAGCACTGGTCCTGACCAATGTTCCCTCTAAGCTGTGGGGTCTTGTGAGCAAAAATTCTGCTTTGTGAGCTCCTGGCATTAAAGTTGTGAGCAAGAGATTTTGCTGCTGGATAAACTAGTTTGCTCTGGAGCCCTCCTTCCTGAGCCAAGACAAAAATGTGTGAGCCAGAGGCTCAAAAACTGTGAGCTAGCTCACACTCACTCAGCTTAGAGGGAGCACTGGCCCTGACAGCACCGGCGACACGGGCTGCCAACCCGCTCCCCCCCCCCCGCGCATCCCACAAGGGCCGGAGCGACGTCTCGGCGGGGCCCCCCCCCCCCCCCCCTCCCCCGCCCCCCCCACCCCCCGCGCCCCCCCCCCCCCCCCGGGGGGAAGCAGGGGAGAGCAAAGGCCGCGCGGCCCCGGCGAAGCCGCCCTCCCCGGCCCCGGAGAGCACCTGTCAGCCCCGCGCGGCCCCCCTCAGCGGCGCCAACGGGCAGCGACGGCGGCGGCGACGACGACGCCCCCCGTCCGCGGAAGGCCCGCCGCCGCCATCTTGGAACATCCGGCTCCGGCGCCGACGTGTCACGTACGCCCCCGTGCGCGATTACGCCACCACGCAGCACGGCGCGGCTTTCGCCTTCCGCCGTCGTTCTCTTGCCAAGGGACTCCCCGTGCAGGAAGCCGGCGCCGGCGTGACTTCCGGCTCCCGAGTGGACGAAACGCCATAGAGACTGAGGCGGCGCCCCCTATCTGAGAGGACCCGGCCGTGCAGCTAAAGAATGACCTCGCCTTAGGACAGGGGTGGCCAAACTGTGGCTCGGGAGCCACATCAGCCCCGTAGCTAGGGAATTCTTTGGGAGGGGGCCTTGGGGGGGGGCCCGCCAGCTAATTAAATTGAAGTACAGTGCAGGTGGTAAGTTGGAGCACTTTGGGGGCAGCCCTGGAGGGAGGGGGCCCAGAAGAAACACAAGGGGGCCAGGCCCCGTGGGCCCCATGTTAGCTAGGCCTCTTTCACACATATCGTGCAGCTCCCACTACAGTGGCTGGAGAAGCAAAGGGGAATTCACTGCCACAGGAGATGGTGGTGGCTATTATAAGCATATGGAACAGAGGTCTATCAGTGGCTATTAGCCACAAGGTATAGATAGGGACTCTCAGTCTGGGGCAAGGGATGCTCTGTATTCTTGGTGCTTTTTTGGGGGGGGGGCAGCAGTGGGAGGGCTTCTAGAGTCCTGGCCCCACTGCTGGACCTCCTGATGGCACCTGGTATTTTTGGCCACTGTGTGACACAGAGTGTTGATCCAATATTGGTTTCTCTTATGTTCTTATGGGAGGCATGCCTCCTCAATTGCTCTTCCCTTCCCCAGCCAGTGCAGAGACAGAAAGCAACTCTAACTTAAATGCATTCTCAAAGCCCCCCCCTTCCCACCAGCTAAGCTTGGATAAGGCATTTGTCTCTTTAAATCCCTTCTCCAACCCAAGCAAGCCGGTGTGGGGGCAGGGGTGGGGCTTGGAGGACACATTTAACATTAAAGTTGCTTTCTTTCCACCTCTTTTTCCCTCCCCCATCTTTCTCTCTCTCTCTCTCTCTCTCCCCATCTAAAGTTATCAATTTAATATTATTAAAAGCAAATCTGCATATTTTTCAATGAAAACATGTGTGTAATATTTGGTCATGTCTTATGGCTCTCAAACATCTGACGTTTAGTCTATGTGGCTCTTACGTTAAGCATGTTTGGCCACCCCTGCCTTAGGACATGCCACAATACCACTCTAATGGCGGCAGAAAGGGAAGAGGGCTTGAAACGCAACGACCGTGGCCTCTATAGGAGGACGGGAGGGCCTGGCGTGATGGAGTCTACGGGGTCTCGCAAAGAGTCAGACGCGACCGTGCGACTGAACAACAACAACAGCAGGAAATGCTGCATGCTCAGGTGGCTGGGGAAAGCCCAGGTGACCCCTTCCACAAGAGAAGTGGCTCAGAAGCAAGAGCCAAAAGACCAGCAGGATTTCCAATTTTTCCAATGAAATAAAATGCCAATTTCTATTGAACGATGTAACAGCAGAGATTACTGTGGCAGTGGCCAATTTTTTAGTTGACGTGATGAGAGTGAAAAATTTGGGAAAGTCCATTTCATGATTTTATAATTAACCTAGACTTTTAGTTGATTGTGTCATTTTCTGTCTTTGATTTTTAAGGTTGTATATGCCATTAAAGGTTTATTGATTGATTGATTGGATTTCCAATTGGTCTTTAAGGGGCTACTGGCCTCCAATCTTGCTGTTCTGCTGCAGACTGGGAGGGGTGTGTGTGTGAAATGCCCTCAAGTTGCTTCCAAGTTATGACAACCTCCAAAACGTCCTATCCTTAACAGCCTTGTTGCTCAGGTCTTGCAAACTGAGGGTGTGACTTTTGTTTGGTATAAAAGAAGAAAGGACTATTAAAGTACTTCCCTATAACAGGTCCTGATGGCCTTCCTGCAGAATTCTACCAGGTCTTTGAAGACCCGCTGAATTCATCAAGATCAAGCAGATTTTCTTCCAAAAAGACAAGAACAATGTAAGAACAAACCGTATTAAATGTATTGGAACATTTTGAAGCCCATCCGGAGAAACAGAAGGAACTAGACAAGGATGTCCACTTTCACCATTGTTGTTCATATTTGTTCTTGAAATATTGAATGATATGATTAGAGAGGATACACAAATTAAAGGCCTTAAAATAAGAGAAGAATATAAGCTTCAAGCTTTGCAGACGACTTAGTATTTATCTTAGAGAACCCACTTGATTCTATTATGCAACTAATAAAAACTTTACAAGAGTTTGGACAGGTTGCTGAGCTGAAAATTAATTTTAATACAACAAAAATGTTAGTAAAAATATGACTAAAGACCAATCTCAACAGGTACAAGAACTATCAGGCCTAGAAGTCCAAAAAAAGGTTAAATACCTAGGAATAAATATAACAAATAGATGTAGCTCTTTGGAGAAAGATAACTACTTGGAATTTACAATGGAAATTAAGAAGGACCTGGAAAAATCTACAAATATTTTTGATGGGAAGAATGGCTACAATAAAAATGAATATATTACCAAGATTGATTTCAAACAATTCCAAACAATTCCAGTCCTTCAAAATCATTTTTAAAAGAACTTGATACAATGATGACGCAGTTTATATGGCAAAACAAGAAGCCAAGGATAAAACTTAAAGCCTTACAAGATGCAAAAGAAAGAGCTGGATTTGCATTACCACACTGGCTTTTGTATTATAGAGCAGCATCATTGATGTGGCTAAAAGAATGGATTACCGGTACATTAGAAAATACAAGATTATTAATGTTAGAGGACCATGAACTTTTATTAGGTTGGCACATGTTCATATGGTATGGAAGAGTGGATACTCATAAATATTTTAAGCAGCATCTTATTAGGAGTTCCTTATTGAAGGTACGGGAAGAAGTAAAAATACTTTTTATACCAAGATACCAAAATGGGTCTCTCCACTCGAAGCCTTCAAAAATCCAAATTTATATCCAAAAAATGCACTGATATGAGGATTTGCTGAATAATAAAAATGAATTAAAACCTAACAGAAAATATCAAAAAACAAGAATCCAACCTAACTTGGTGAGAAAGAGTATAATTAGAAGGAAAGAGTACAAATAGAATCAAGATATGCCAAAAATAACAGGTTTTTATATAAAATTAACATAAATTGATAAGATATAGATGTATAGAGATGAGAAACTGATTAAGAAACTATGTATTAATGTTAGAAAATAAGACCCAAGATGAAGTAGTTAAAAATTCTATGCTTAAATGGGCACAAAACATGGGACATAATATTGATTTGAACCAATGGTCACAGATATGGAATACAAAAGGTAAAGATCACTAAAGCAACTTCATATAAATAAAATATCTATATTTATACTGTCCATGGGGTTTTCTTGGCAAAAATACTGGAGTGGGTTGCCATTTCCTCCAGGGGATCACGCTTGGTCTGAGTTCTCTGCTGTGGCCTGTCTGTCCTGGGTGGCCCTCCACGGCATAGCCCACAGCTTCGTCGAACCACGCAAGCCCCCTCACCACGACAAGGCAGTGATCCATGAGGATCACTTTCAATTTCTTCATCATTAGCCTTAAAGTTGTGTTAATTCCTCACTAGTCATTAGTTTTGTCTTCTTGATGTTCAGTTGTAATCCCTCTTTGGCACTTTCTGCTTCAACCTTTATCAGGAGTCGTTTCAAGCCTTCATCAAAAGGACATCTAGGCTGGGGTATGCCACAACTTGAAGGATATTATGAAGCTTTCCAAATAAAAATGTTGTTGGAAATGGATGGTAAAAGTAAGGATAAATGGGTCCGATGGGAAGACTTTATAAATGGAGGAGAAGGCAGGTTTGGAATATTTACACAAAGATTAAAAAAAGAGTTCAAGAATACAATAGGCCCAAGATGGACAGCATTAAAAATAGGGGGGGGGGGGAAAACGTCAAAGGGATATCATCTC